CATTGCTGTAGTGCACAGACTCTTAAAAGAGATGAGAAGATGCATGGGAACTGCTTAGCACAGAAAAGAGAGAGAAAAGATTGCCAAAAGAAATGAAGGGTTGCTTTATGCTTAGAGTGTTGGGACGTTTCCATGGAGGAGGGGGCACGTGAGCTGGGGTTTAGTAGCTAAGCAGGCTGCACTAACCTGAGATCAGAAGAACTAGATAGTGTCCAATGACCATTCATGACTGCCCACTCGGATCAGTGTCAACTCAGGAAGCCTTGTGCAGAGTGTGAGAAAATTGTAGAACAAAGCTTCAGGTCATGAGAAAGACTGGGCCTACTGGTCAGATTGGGGACCAATAGAACCCCAAGATGCTCTTCAAACACGGACCCGAGCCCACACCCAAAGATCACCTTCTAGCCAGTCCAAGGACGGAACTCTAAAGCAAACAGTAAGCCCTGCGAGGAATGTGCTACTCAGAACCACCTGCCGGACTAGACCCAAAAGGACAGTCCCTGCTGTCCGAAGGCAGGAGGGGCTGGGAAAGACGGGGAAGTCAGAATGGACAGGGCGCTCGGGGAGAAAGCAGGAAGAAGGCGAAACCTTGGGGGACTGCAACTAAGGCGAGGAAATGAGGCTTGCGAGCGCTGGCTGTGGAACTAATGCGCTCGGTGAACTTTCCCCGGAACCACCACGCACCTTTGCCCACACACCCCCCAGGAAGAAGTGCAGAGGTGTAATGGAGAGCCTAGGGCAAGGGGAGGGCCCGGCTCTGCTGTCTGGCTGAGGGCCAGCTGCCTGTGGTGTTTCTTTCTGTTATGGTGCATCAAAGAGACAGCAGAGAACTGCAGGCTGCCATCTGGAGGCTCGGGACCAGCATGAGGAAAGGCGTGGCGCTGCGGAGATGCCAGGCCTGTTCCGGGCAGTGTCCATCCTGGGGCTGCCCTGCAGCTGGTGGGGGTGAGCCTGGGGTCAGGGACCTTCAGGGGTCACACCGAGAAGCATGTGCTTTATCCCCCAGAGCCAGGAGGAGCTGCTGGTGGCTCTCATGAAGGCTCCGCCATGGTCAGCTCCGGCAGCCAGCTGGAGGAGCCCTGGTGTTGTCTTGGGTACGAGTTGGGCAGCTGCTAACTGCAAGGTCAGCAGTTGGAAACCACCAGCCACTCTTCAGGAGAAAGACCAGGCTTTCTACTCCCGTGAAGGATCAGTCTCAGAAACTCACAGGGGCAGTTCTACCCTGTCCTGTCGGGTCACTGAGGGACGAAATGGACTTAGTGGCAGCAAGGTTTTTTCTGGTCAGCCAGTCAGAGTGAAGAGAGTAGAGGAGGCCCCAGAAAGGGCAGGGAGAGAAGACAGGAGCTTGCTGGGCCTGTACAGGCCAGAGGTAGGGGGTGGCAGATTCCAGGAACAAAACAGGAAACACAGTCCAATGGACACTGACATGAGGAACAGGAGGGGCCTCAGGTTTGCAGCATGACTGTCCCTGCCCGCCCCCCCACCCCCAGTCCACATGGGATACCGCCCTCAGGAAGCAAATGCCCTCTGATCCACTGGGCGTGGGAGCAGGTCAGAGATATTTGCTTAAAAGAGCCTCTTCCATTCTGAGGCCTGGTCCTTGGGGAGCCTCCAGGAAGCTCAGAGAGACCAGACTCACTCACCTGGACAGACCAGACCAGGTGAGGAGCAAGGACAGGAAAGTGCAGGCTGTGGAAAGTAATCCAGGAGGCCTTCCTGGAGGAAAAGCTCTGGAGCTGCACTTCCAGCAAACTGGATCCAAAAAACCAAACTCACTTCCATTGAGTCAATGCCAACTCATCGTGACTCTCTAGAACTGGCTAGACCTGTCCCTTTGCGTTTCAGAGGCTGTAACTCTTTACAGGAGTAGAAGGACTTCTCTTTCTCTCTAGAGACAGGTGGTTTCAAACTGCTGACCCTGCAGGCTGCAGCCCAGCATGTAACCACTCCACCACCGGGGTTCCTGGCAGATTGGATGCTGTTGACAAACCCTTTCTCAGAAGATCAGCTTTGCTGCCTTCTGCATCATGAACTTCGTGGCCTAGAGGGTTGCGCACGGGGCTGCAGTTGCTCTGCGGGAGAAAGCTGAAGCTTTCTGCTCCCATGAAGGTGTACAGCCGGGGGGACTCCTGGGACCAGTTCTGCTCTGCCCTAGAGGGTCACTCTGAATGGGAATGGCAGAGTGAGTTTGGGTTCACAGCCAAGATGGGACCAGTTTTGCATCCCACAATCCTGTTAGAAGGGCTTTGAAAACCCCATCCGGGAATGTGGTTCATTTTACAGAAGAACCCACTGACCCCAAGACACCTGTACAGGGTCCTTTTGGCTTCCACTCACACCCTCTGCCTTAGTCCAGTGTCTGCTCTGACCACGCCCAGTGACGTAGCCCCGCCCTTTTCTGAGCCGGAATGTTGATTCATGTTATCAAAATAACTTGCCATGAAGCCCTTTAGGAATAAAACAAGGGGGCAGGAGCCAGCCTTCTTACACGGGGTGGGTGAGAGGTTGGGGTAGCTCTGGTCAGCTTGCGGGGACGGGGCTCTCAGGACGGACCGCCCACAAGGCAGGACCAGGTCGCTCACCACGACCCCAGGATTGACAAATCTGCCCAATCCCGAGCACCAAATTAAAAAACAATTAAGCTAATAGAATCTCCCCATTGCTTTTGTCGTTTGGCAATCACTCCTTCATAATTCCTTGGCTTTTAACTCACTGTCGGCTCAACCAAAGTGGGCTTTTTAAGTAACTTGATTATTTCAGAACTCACTGCTTCCAAGAACAATCTCAGGCTTGCCCTCCAGCCCTGTGACTCCCTGCTCCGCTATTTATTTCTATGTGACGCAGCGTGCTATTTATTTTAATTAGCTTTATATTGTATCTCTAACAGAAGCCAAAGAGAAACCCACAAACAACTGCCCATTAGCCGGAGAGCAGAACCCTGGTACAAATCACTCCCAGACAACAGGTTCTTCCGAATGTATAAGGGAGTGGGGGAGGTAAGGCACTCGTTAATCAGGCGGAGCAGATACAGAGCCTTGCAGGCGGTGGAAGAGGGTCTTCTCAGGTGGCGTGAGGCTCTCCTGGCTAGAGGTTGAAGGCGGATTCAGTGGGGGAAGTGGTTTAGGGACTGGATCTTGACTGATGGCCAGGATGTGGAGAAAAGCACATAGGAGCAGTAGTTTGATGTTTTGTACATTTCTCTTTGGTGAAATCTGGGATTTTGCACATCAGACGTTGGTGCTCAGAAATGTGTTGGGTTTTTTTTTTTTTAACACATCACATTCCAAGTTTAATCCCGAGGCTGGACTACAAGGACATGGAGGCCTCTCAGGGAGGTCTCCCAGGCTGATACAGCATAGTCTTCTTGCCTCCAAGGCTCCATAGTTCCTGCTTACCACGCCTCCAGCTGCCATCAAGCCAGCTCTGACTCCCTGCCCGTCCTGCGGCACTTTCACAACTGCTAGTATGCTTGGGTCCCTTCTTGTAGCTACTGGACTCCGAGTGCCCTCTACCCCAGGGCAGGAACCCTGGTGGCACAAACCCAGCAGCCGCCCTTCAGGGAAAAGATTAGGCTATCTGCTCCCAAACCTGGTGAATCAGCTTGATGGCCGTGGGTTTTGGTTTGGGGACTCATCTCCTCGCACCCAATCAGACAATATTCCGTTGTAATCCACAAAGCTTTCATCGGCTACTCTTTAGAGGTGGATCGCCAGGCCTTTCTTCCTAGTCTCCTTACTGTGGAAGCTCCGGTGAAACCTGTTCATCAGGGGAGACCGGGCTGATGCTATGTGCAATACCACCGGCATGGGTTCCAGCATCACAGCAACTCGCAAGGCACCACGGCACGACACACTGAAGCGACATCCTCCAGGTTTGAATCCTGGCTCTCCTTCTTGAAGGTTCTAATATTCTTGACAAGTCCCGTAATCTCCTTATGCCCCAAAATCCCTCTCTGTAAAACGGGTTCCATAGTAGTGCGTGAGCACAGGGTCCTTGTGAGGATTGAATGGACAAGAGTACACAAAGCAGCCAGAAGAGGACCTGGCCTTTCGTCTTGGCAGGTCGTACTGACCACGAAGACAGCAGTTCAAACCCACCAGCTGCTCTGCAGGAGAATGGCGGGGCAGTCTGCTCCTGTCGCCATGACTTGTAGCCATGGAAACTCGATGGGGCTGTTCTTCTCGGCCTGAATGGGTCCCTGTGAGTCAGAATGGACTCACTGGCAGTGGGTGCTTTGTGGGTGTTCTTGTTATTGTTATCATTAAAATGGAAGCACTGCTATTGCTGAAAGGAGTACAATGGCGGGATGACGATGGACATCATATGCCCAACACAGTGACTCCACAGCCACAACCCACTCTGCACAGTTGGGTTCCACTTGGAAGCCTCCAGAACAAAATTAAAGATGATAACGGTGACAATGACGGACGGTTTGCTCCTCAGAGATTATCTCTAAAGTAGGCTTTACAGTGCCTCTAAGCCACCACATCTGGTGAGCATGTGGTCTATTTTCACATCTATGATTGTTACCTGTCACTTATGTAAACGCTTCTGGACAGTCACTGGGGTTTCCTTGCCCAGGGAGGGAGGACTGTGAACCTTAGCCTGTGAGCACCAGGGAGCCAGGCAGGGTTCTTGAGGGAGGGAGTGGCCTGATTTTGGCGGTTGGCTTCTTTTGCAGGGAATGCCTACCGAGAGTGCTTAGAGAATGGGACGTGGGCCTCCAGGATCAACTACTCGCAGTGTGAGCCCATTTTGGATGATAAGGTGAGTGGCCCCTCCCTGCCTGACACGGGTCCTCATACAGGTGTTAGGATTTCAGGTGAAAGGCCCAGACTAGCAGACTCAGTTCTTATTAAGTCACCCACC